AACATTGTCGCAAAACGTAAATCTGGATGAGTTGATCGGACGATGTTGAAACGAATCGGTGAAAAAGCAGAAACCCCCTTAAACCAACATCGCTTATCACTCAAGGAAACCTTTGCCGCCGAAATAGTGAAGTTCACCCTGAATGCTACTCATTTATTTCCCTTGATCTGATACAGAAAGTAGTGTTTTCGATATTAAGAAGGGGATCGCGCCAACGAAAGGTTGCCAGAAAAAAGTAGAACGACCATGGTGGAGTTTGAAGTCACTAACTGCAAGGTCGTAGGCCGACTTCCCATACCACCTATATTCGNAACCACAATGGTTACGTCATGACGAAGCCGGGATAGCATGTAGTGCCGACATCACTCTACTGCTACTCTTCTTAAAAACTGATTACCCAAATGATCCTGGGGAAATCGTTTTTATCATTCACCAGGTCCAACCACACACGTACAGAAGAAGAAGAGAAGAAGGACTGGAGATATTACCGGCCAATAAGGAAGGTGTTGCACACAAAATCGAAACCGGATTTGCGTTCCGAAAGAAAGCTGATCAAGGCATCGCCATTTTCCGAAATCCAAGTGTCGAGTGTGGTGGAACGGAAGATTACATTTTAGCAGACAATAGACCATGGTCGTGGTATCGAAATCAACTATTTGTTGTTCTACAGTCTTTATGCGCTTATGTGACTTTCATCTACTGTTCTGCACGGGATGCATACATAATGAAATGACAGCAATGACATTACCGAAAACATACGTTAGCCTACACCTTGTGCTCAGATTTTGACTTAGTGTGTGATCAGAACAAAAGCTGCATGGGGAATTCTATCAAACGAGTGCGAAAACGAGCTCGAAATAGAATGCGAATTACCGAGGGACCACTATCAGATCGTGAAAGTTTCACATCAGCGGTGCTAGATGCCATTGAGAAGGGGTTGGGAGTGGGATTGAGAGTCAGAGCACTATTGGTACTTGATGGGATTGACACGGGTGCGGGAGATGGCTCGTCCAAGCCGACCAGCGACGGATCCCGAGCAACCAGAATCCGGAAGTCATTGGTCTGAGCCCGCAGAGCAGAAACAGCGACTTGATGCTCGACATTGACCAGACTGGTACCATTAACCTGAGGCAAAAAAGACGATCAATATAAGCCAAGTTCACAGCGAGCGTAAAATGATTGAAAGTGTTACACAATAATTACCAGCTGAGTACAAAAACCGCATCATAATTCATATGTTTACTATCTCATAGATTACTAAGATGAAGAAGTTGTCCAAAAGCTGCGTATGTAAGAGACAGAACAGCTCGTATGATGGTCGAAGGATAACGAGTTAAAATTTAGGGTGAATCGAGGGTGAGATAAAGTACTTTACACTGAACTTAGACGAGCAAGTGCAGAGAGAGATAGCAGAGACAATATTCCATACAAGCAACAAACTTTAACGATTAGGCAACGCTTATCTCATTTTTAACTCGGGGGGAGGGGGAGGGAGGGGGAAGGAGGGAGTTGATTTGAGATGAACAAGCCTCGAAGAATCATGGCGATGATGCTGTATTGAGTGATGTGGATGAGGCTTGTTCTTCTCAAATCAACTCCTCGAGCTGCAAATGAGATTTGCGTTGCCTAGTTCACATCGGGAGTTCAAGTATAAGAATGACCAGAAAAAAGATTACCGGATACGCATACCTGACGAGCGGCAGGTGCCGCGAAACCGGTAGTGTGCTTCTGGGAAATTTTGTCTAGTCATTCATATACTACTCCTTAGAATAAAAAACTTTAACGGTGCTGCAGACCTAGACGGGAGACCACTCTAAATTTATTGAGGACTTGAGCACTCTTAAGATACACAAAGGATATCCGTGTACGAATGGGAGAGCGACGGGACATAAAAGAGAAAGCAACAGCAATAGGTGTGGATAAACTGCAGTTTTGGGTAAACAAAGGGAACGGGATGCAGGGTGACCGGCAAAATGGAATCAAATAAGAGCATTACTTTGAGATCATAAAGGAAATAAAGGAAGTCGAAGCGTATTGAGAGATACAGAGAGAAAGAAAAGTGCATGCGGCATTGTCAAACACGCGAGTAAACTGGATAGGGTTTTCCTACACTCGGACCAAGTCTTAGTTTGACCACAATCGGCCTTTTCCATCCGCTGCCTGCCTCGGTAAACATCGCTCACAGAGGCCACTATTTGGCGACTTTCGCACCACATGACAAAATCAGAGTTTATGGAGGTCGACCACTTGCTCCAGTGGACGACCGCGATTACCCACAATCACGGACTTGACCCCAGTATTTATCGCCCGGTTTCCCCACCTAGCTGGTGCAATGCTGCGTAGACAGCGGCGTTCGACCCTTCACGGACAGCCGGATGTCGCGGGGCGCCACAGATGACTCAAGTTGGTAAATGTCAATCGAGTCTGGATGCTGATGATAGGATTTATTTCTACCCCAAAAGAGTAGTAGGTAGCCTGAAGAACATTGTTATCAATTGAGTCTCGATTAAGAGCAATGGTCATGAAACCCTGAGTAACGGAACATTTTTTCTAGCTGAAGTCGTCAATTCCAGTAAATATGGTCAGCAACTTGATTGAAACAAAAAATCGCTAGAATACTTACTAGTGGATAGGTTGTTCATTTCGCAACTTCATTTCCACTTCTCGAATGAGGTAAACTCGGACATCACTAACGACAAATAACGACTAGATCTCATTACCACTGAGTCAGTGAGCCACTGGCAGTTCAACTAGGGAATCAGCTTCCATGATTTTGAAAAAAACTGTTTGAACTAACTACGTGATGGAAAAAAATTGAAGCCTAAAAAAAATGATATGCTTTCTGATGTGCAACAAAATGGCTTTCTTTTAAACCTAGTGAATTATATTTAAACATGTGTAGACTATTAAAAAGTTTTGATTAAGCAATAGGATAGAACGATTCCCAATTCGGGCAATATATTTACTCCTCTTTTAGAGGTGTGAGATTTAGTACTGATAACATTTTCCTCATTGATGACGTCAGAAAAGTTGAGAATCAACATAAGTTTTTATCAGGATGGCATTCTTTCTAATGGAGTAAACCATTTTCATGCATTTCTGTTCAGTGGAGATTTGTTCCTCTAAACTGCACTGCAAAAGTTGGCTTTACCACATGAAAAACCACAGACAGAAAATATCACTAACATAACGCGTCGGTAAAACAGCTGTCAGGACAGAACACTTTCAATTACAGCGCTTAGATTGACTGCTCCACTTGAAACATGTACCATTTGTGATAAATGGCTTTCTATCCTGTTTTCCTGATTTGACTCTAAAAGACAAACTTTGATCACAAATAGTTTCACAGTCCCGATCGAATGCTTGTTGGGTAGAAAAGGACAACACGTTTCACCGTGAAATAAAAGTACAAAGTGGTAAAAATCAGCTTTGTGTTTTGAACGCATTGGAATAGCAGTTGTTGAGATAATATTCAACTCTCCGGAAACCAGTTTGATTATCAGGTATCCTCCTTTTGTGCATTTTCGCAGACCACTATAAAAAAACTAACTGATCAAAAATTATTCAAGACCGAATTACGACGCACTATTGGAGGAAGACCACTGAAATGCGGTTTCTTCCCGTTGTGTGAAATTTTTGTATTCATGTCGGGACTCAAACCGCGAATCTTTGGGTTGGAAATCAAAATCCTTATATCCCGACAGAACGATCGAGTATCTGGATATGATAATATAGATTGCATTATTTGGATGAACTAAATTCCATTTTCCCATTCGGGGTGCTTAATGTTTGAAATAATTCAATGGGCTCTTTCGAACAAGACCATCGAAACCATGGTAAACTTACACAAGGAAGTAGAACCGTGAACGCGACTGTATTTGGGGGACGCCCAATGAACAGGTGCAAACAACAGAATCTTACTACACCACGAAAACAAGTGCTGGTCCAGACTGGATTGGTGCATTTGGCACACAACCGAAAGCTATAAATTAGATCTATATTACTAGGGGCAAGGGACTATCTGGTAGGAATCACAACTACAAACAGAGTATCAGGAAATAGTGTTGGTGTGCCGATGAACCGGTAGTACGGAACGATGCGGAGTTATCGCACGAAAGCAGAGATAAAAATGTAAAGGTGAATGTAAAGAAACCGGGCAGCAAATCAGATGAAAAGTTAATCACTGGAACAGAGCAGAGATGGATCACGATAAACACAAGGTTTCCTGATACAAAACAATACAGTAAAGCAGCAGCTAAAATTATGTACTGAAACACTTAAGTACAGTGTTCAAGGTTGTTTGAACTGAACTGACCTATATAGAATAGAACCGAATTCATTTTCGTGAATTAACGGTATAGCCAAACATCAGAAAATAGTGAGATGATCTGCGAGCAGATTATCAAGCAAATCTGATTTTACGCAATAATTCAAGAAAGTCAGCAGTGACGTGACGAAACACAAATNATAAAGAAGATCAATAACGCTAAGAAAATACTGTTTGCTAATGCAAAAGGATTGTTACCGAAAACGAAGGAGTATGGCTGTTTTCGGCGAATAAACGATTTACGTAGCTGCTTTGCTCCTTTCAAATCTACCAGCGTTGTTCATTAATTATTGGTGTTAATATGTTTTTTTCTTGATTGATAAGTGGTCCAATGGTGACAGTCCGTCGTTCGAATAGTGATTATCACCTTGTGTGACCGATCACCATTTGCAGCTTTGTTAGGCTTAGTGACCAATAATTCAGTCACATGAGCGTATGTGCGTGTAACGGAACCGCAGATGACTGAAGTAAATACAGCAAAAGAAGTGACCAGTCTGAACCAAAGCTCATGCGACTGTCGTTTACCTGTTTCAACTTAAGATGTTCGAATATCAATTAAGGATGTACAAACTGAAACTGAAATTCAACCATTCGCACAAGCGGGTCAGTGCAAAAGTATTACAATTGCTACCATTCTGAAGGTGGAAGGAAACTATCTTCGTTGTATTTTGCTATGCAAGCAACAGGATGGAAAACATATTGAACAACTTTTATAAAATAAATACGCATTTTCCATAATATTTGTTCTTTCTTTCTTTTGGAATTCTATCTCATCTATAGTTAGCTAGATCGTTCAACGCGAAAAAGCCGGTTAGTAAAACTCCAAGAAGAGTTTTGCGTTGGCCTATATTAGTGGATATTGTAGTCCGTACTTAAGGCAAGTTTTATCATTATGAGTATCCGTTTACCGAACGGGCTTAGAGAAATAGTACGTGTACCTTAGACGAGTCAAACGTTGGCCCGCGTCGTCATCGCTTAAACTTTTTCCACTCCGAATTTCCCACATGGCGCATCGTTCCACAACTGATTCTCCTGTGGTGATTCTCTACCAACACGTAATCAGCATCGAATTCAGTACTTATCCGCCGTCTATGCCGGCCCGAAGATCACACGACCGTTCAGGTTCATTTACCGATCGTTCGGATAGTTCAACCGTAACAAGGGACCTGGTGCTTGTCCGGCAAACTCGAGTTAAAAACTACATTCTGTTTACAGCCGCGAGTCTGAGACAAGCCCAGTGAACTTCGACTGCACAGCAGGCGTGCCTTCACCACACGGATGGAAGTGCAGTGACAAAAGCATCACGAAAAGTACAAGACAGTGTGAAACGATAGAGCTATCGCACTATCCTACTACTACTACTATCCACATAGCAACATGACATCTTGAATTGATACTCGGACATCTCAAATTCGTATTGTGACATCTTAAATTGTTACTCGGAGATCTTAATATGATGCTGTGACATCTTAAATTGAAAAAGTATAGTCACTCGCAACGAGCATCTGCGTCATTCACCGAAGTGTTAATCTATTTCCTCAAGGAATAAGGATATTCATTTTAAGGTATCAGTCGAAGATGAAGTTGCCGATTGATCGTGGACAAGTGAGTGATGCTCAAACGTTTGGATAGTACTGGGAATAAGGTGGGTTTGTGACATTGGAAATACACTGTGATTATGACGATAAGCATAGAACAGCTAATGAAGAAACAATAAACACAGGTGGAACAATTAGGATGAGCGAAAGAACCTAGAAACGGCAGTAAAATCACGTTCAAGTGATGCGTGCATAGATGACAAAATATAACCTTCTGTGATAATCAACCGCATTGTTTAGTTTATTTAGACAGATCAGGGATCAAGAGCTAAGATCAAAACATTGACATAATTTGGAAGGTCTGCTTACTAAACAGAGAAGCCTGAACAGAAATAACCAGTTCCATTAAACATAATCGCTAAATAAAAAATAAACAAAAGTGTGAAGCCTAGACTGAGTAACTGAGCAACAGTGAAGGACAAAATCACGGAAACTTCGTAATACACCAGGTCTAGGCTGAGTGAGATGTGATGATCCATACAGACAGATAGACAAAAATTGGCACCTAGGACAAATGGACAACGTCAACTGTTCAAATCGTTGTTCGGCAGATTGAAGTCTTATGTTGGAACCGTGCAAAGTTCAGTAGCCTCGGTGGGATTAGGGCCCACGCATGGATACCGCCTACGCTTTTGTATAGCGCACGCTCAACCAGCTGCAAGGCCACACCGATAGCACTGATATTTTCGCATCCCAAGTGCTTATGAGATCGGTCGAAATCGGGCGTCACAGAAAAGTATTTATGGACAATAAATACATTCCGGGAAAATCAAATTTGTGAAGCACCGTATGTAAAAATGTGGATTTATGGGTCCGATCACAGAACAGCCTAAAGCTAGTGAGAGGGCAGTACAATAAAGAATTCGTGAAAGGCGGAACCTGAGTTTAATTCATATGTTTGTTCTCTAGTTCATGCATGGTCAGCATATCGAAGAAATCAGAAGAACAGATTTCAAACATGAAAATTTATAAATCAGAACATTGTCACGTGTTTAATCATTCATGTAGTACACTGGAGTGTAGTTTTGCGTCCCTGGGCAACTGAGTAGACGTTCCCGACAAACAACCGAATCGATCACCAATGCAATGTGAAAGGAGACGGTTAACAGGCGCGACAGGAGCAAACACTTTAGAGGTGTCTTTGGTTGTGGGCGGAGGAATCCTTTACTACTTTGCAAGGCAATACGCAATGCGCGACTAAAGGCATTGCATGGGATCACAGAAAGAGGCGCTGCATGCAATCAATCGAGCCAACTCATTGAGAAGTGATTTATTGCCGTGGGTATTCAATCGATGACTCTCATATTCCACATTGGGGTGAGTATTGAAAATGGGAACATAGATGCACATACAGATCACAATTGGTGACCATGCTGTATCCCATCCACCAGAGTTTGTACATCATAAACACAAAAGGTACTAAAAATAATCCGAACAACCGTCATAGGGGAATCTTGAGAAGGACACTCCACCCCATCCATCCCCCACACACAAACCAGTCAAATTCAAAGACTTACCTCAAGCAGTTTATCATGCAATCGAAGTCCTGAGGCATACGCAAGCCCGGTTGGATTCAGACGGCTGACGAAAATTCCGTGATCCGAACCTTGAAATGGCACGGAACCTACTCCGCCCGCAATACTCAGTCCCAAACCGGCCCCGGGTTGACGATGAATATGAACTACAATCTTTTGGATCTGGCTGTTTGATTGATGCGTAGGATCCGTGCTCGATGATGAGCTCATTGCAGCAGCCACGGCCAACATTTTCAGGGCACCACCAACCTAAATTTGAAGAAAAAACATGGTCCAACACGGGATCAAGACTCATCATGGTTTCGCTCTTGTAATCCATAGTGAATGAGAAAACTATGCGGGCAATGAAAGCGAATACACACGTCACCTGATGAGGTCAGCTAAAACTCAGTCAACCACGAGATGAGCCTTACGGACTTCAGGCGCTTTAGTGTTTCCGAGGAATGAGAATATGTAAGGGCTTTGACACGTTTCGAATACATCATCAATCGGATATAATTCATTTTTGTCCAGTGAACGTTCTGCCGGCCGAGGAAATTTCTCAAGATAAATGTGTGCACTAGATAACCGATCGCCGAAGTGTGTGCGACGTTTGGCCATTAAACTCAAAGTGTAATTTCAATGAAACAGGGGATCAGAGTAATGCACAGTTGGTAGATAGATATACAAATACTACTACCTTATTCGTACCACCAGGTGTGCATGATTGCTGATGAAAACTCCGATGAACAACAGTTCCACAGTCTGACTTCGTCAATGTCAAAAACACGGTTGTTTTAGCTTTTACGAAGGGCAACTCATCCTCGAATTATTGGTCGCTTTAGTGAACGCAGAACGAACTAATCTAACCGGATTGTGGTAATCGAGGTTCCGTGCACCATAGTCACCAGTTCTGAGCAACTAGCGAGGAAAACATCGATTCCGATGTCGTGTCTCACACAACTTTACACGTCCTTAAATCCAAAGTGATAGGACCGCCCACAATTTGTGGTTTTAGCAGAGAACTCTGTTTGTACACCAGGTAACTTTGTTGCGTGACGGAAAAAAGACTCACTTCAGAGTTGGGTAGATCGGAAAGCATCTGATTAGCGGTCGCAGAGGCTCTGTACTTTTCCAAAATTTTCAGGACAGCTTCTTCGCTATCAACTGTGACAAAATAAATAAAAAAGTGAGATTGCTGAGAATAATGTCATGTTGAACATTTGAAACTTGAGAAAATAATACTCTCTGCAGATTCAAACACAGCTCCCCCTCATGAAAAAAACAGTTTGCACTTTCCTAACTTTCGATTCTTTGATCAATTGACAACAATCTGGTTAAATGTGACACTTACGACCGCTCACTTATTTCTCGCAGCTTGAATTATAAGAATGTAAACTGTCCAATCAGGAATGTAATACTCCATATTCGTGGAAGCAGATGAATATATGGATCTGAAGAATCGACTATCCAACCGACCGGTCGATTGATTGTCCAAAAGGGACGAATACAACGCAATACGAGAACACACAACGGATCTACGTATGAACTCTTCAACTGGCTTTATACGCTTATTTTCTCGTTTGCATAACAGCGCTGTGTACGATAACAGTTTCGCTACGGATCGTATTTCAGGCGATAAAGCAATCGGCCCACTATTGGTAGAAGGACAAAAAAACCGCACAGACTTCCGAATGACCAAACACAGGATGCACAGTCCACGTTAGAGGCGACCGGTACAGTGAGATCGGCACATATCGAATAAACGGACAGACAGGGTTACTGGGGGCAATTTTGAGGCCATGCCTAACAGCAAAGTGGAAAGAATGATAAAACTAATGGGTGGAACGACCGAACAAAACACGAAGGAAGTGAATCAATAAAGGTGATAAATTCAGGCTTATGTTTATCGTCAAATAAAAATTTACTTCGGGCACACAGGTTTTATATAACTATACAAGAACCCGATTCATTTACTTTCGGTTCTCATATAATCAATACGCTGTTCAATTCCAGGTACTGAACTGAGCCTAGTAACATGGGGAAAGGACTGACAGTGATGCTGATGAGATTGGAATGTA